TACAAGCATTTGCTGTTAGTGGTCCGGAGAATGTGGAGTCAATAGCTAGGTTGCATCTGTGGCATGCTAGGCTAGGTCATTTACCTTTTTCTTCATTGCAARTGTTGTTTCCCGAATTGTTTAAGGGCATTTCAAGTCAGAGTTTAGTCTGTGAAGTATGTCAACTGTCAAAACAATGTAGAATTGTTTATCCAGTTTCCAGTAATGAAATTCAAGCTCCTTTTGGCCCTTCACCTATTGTTTCTATTAATGGCTTTCGTTACTTTATCAGTTTTATTAACCACTACTCTCGATGCACATGGATCTACCTGTTAAAAGGACGAGATGAAGTGCCATGGATAACCATGGCATTTTGCAAAATGATTGAAACACAATTTGACAAGAAGATTAAGCAATTTCGGTCAGATAATGCTACCGAATATTTTGAAAATTCCTTGAACTTGTTCATGGAAGATGCTAGCATGCTACATCAATCATCTTGTGCTAATACCCCTCAACAAAATGGGGTTGTTGAGCGCAAGAATAGACATCTATTGGAGACAGCTTGAGCCTTACTATTCTAGCACAAGGTTCCCAAGCACTACTGGTCTCAAGCAGTACTTACCGCATCATATCTGATAAATCGGATGCCATCTAAGGTGTTGGGTATGAAAACCCCTTTCTCTGTTCTGTGTCCTACCCTTCCAGACTTTCATCTTCCTCCTAGGGTCTTTGGTTGTGTATGTTTTATACATGTAAAGGATCCAAAGAAGACTAAGCTGGATCCTAGGGCTATGAAAGGAATCTTTTTGGGGTACTCTCCTACACAAAAAGGTTACAAGTGTTATGATCCAGTCACCAAGAGAAAGTATGTCACCAGAGATGTGGTCTTTTTTGAGTCTCAACCCTACTTTCAGTCTTCCCAGAATCCTCTTCRRGGGGAGACYAGTGRGATGGAAGAGGATTCTTATTCTCCCTTCTTTTTTGTTCATTTATCTGCCTCGGGCCTTCCATCCTCTCCTTCTACTCCTCCTAGTTGTGCATAGGGAGGACGGGTCCATTGAAAGGTACAAGGCCTGGCTTGTGGCAAAGGGGTATACTCAAAAAGAAGGGATTGACTACAAAGAAACCTTTGCTCCAGTAGCGAAGCTCAACACAATTCGGGTTTTACTATCATTAGCAGCAAATTTTTCATGGGAACTCCATCAGCTGGATGTTAAGAATGCCTTCCTAAATGGTGATCTTCATGAAGAGGTAATTATGGACCCTCCAACAGGCTACGACTTTGATAGAAAGGTGTGTAAACTGAGGAAAGCATTATATGGCCTAAAGCAGTCTCCTCGTGCATGGTTTGAGAGGCTTTGTGGGGCCATGAAGAAAGTGGGGTACACTCAGAGTGGTGCAGACCAT